CCGACTAGTAACCAATGCCAAATCTGGCGAAACAACTGGCTGCTGTGATACAATTGTATAATAATAATAATAGTTTTCTTTAAAGCAAAATTATAAATATTATACTTGTAATTTAATAAATCTAACCTGTTTATATCACAGGAGAATAGACAAGGGAGAGTAGACAAGGGAGAGTATTTTCCAATAAGAAAAGGAGAAGGATTTGCTTGAAGATTAAGAGAAAGGGACAGTTGAAATTTTTCAGCAGAAGAGTTTAATCCTGCCTACAGCTATTTTCATTTCCCCCTTTTTTTCCTCACTCCCAAGGCAGCTTCTTACCTTCAGGGGGTAAAACTAGTGAAAAGCATTGGAAGCATAGTATCGCCTTTCTCTTCCCATCCTTTCTGCAACTCCTGACCGCTTGATTCATTATATATAAGGTAGCTGTTGTATATCTTATACTAACAGATAAGCCAAGAATTTTAGATCCTCATACACATCCCCAAAACTAGGTTAAGGTTATCCATGGAAAGGCGTATCCACCAGTCTATACATTGTTTTGGGAAACAATGTAGATTCACTTCAAGTAAGGGTTCTGGGGCCGTGAATACAGTGTCATTTGATCTGGGAAAGCAAAGAGGCCATTTGATTTAATTGAAGCAATCTGCAGGGCCTCAACCACTTCAGATCAGTGCTATGAGAAAAGGCTCTTATCAATCTCCTCTTTCATTACTGGCTAAAGTGCTTTCAAACTGGGTGGCTTTGGGATTGCCTATAACATGAAGTAGAATCAGCCTGCCTACAACAACTTTGGTCAGTGCAGAGGGAGCTTTAAGCAGGGCAGCCAATGGTGGGTTCCGACCAGTACGTCCCAGTACAGGTGTACCGGTGCCTGCCGGGAACACCAGATACCGTTCTGGTACAGTGCTCTGGAGGGCCCACATGCCCGCCTGCACTCTTTACCGGTATTTGAGGTTTTGGGGGCTTCTGCACATGGAGGGCACGGCACCTGCGCAACACTCCGCCAAGCAGCTGGAGCATTGCAGAGGTGTCACAGAGCATCGTGGGCAGTAAGTACGTATGCACATGCTGTGTGCGCATTCATGTGGTGGGCACCTGGCCCCATTGTACCGTACTAGGAACACCAGATACTGTTCATTACCAGTTGCAGTGGGATCTGGAACCCACCACTGTACCCAGCCAAGAGATTATTGTGGTAAACATTACAAACATGCTTGTCTCCCACTGATTATTCACCAATACTTTCTAGGCAGTTTACCTTCTGGATGCACAACTATATCCAGATTCAGCAGAATGGGCAGATCCCATCAGCCATAAAATGTTGTCTGTGACTAGAACACGGGCTTATTCCACAGTGGTCCCTGCTCTTTGGAGATCAGAATAGCCCCAACCCTGTTAGCCTTTCATAAGATCCTAAAAAACTATCTGTGTCCCCGGGCCTGGGATGTTGAATGCGTTAGGGGCCCCGTTTCCTAGCTATATTGCTAACTGGCCAAGTTTTTCAAGTGCTATATATATTTATTTTGGCTGTTTCTATTAATTTAAAATGCTTTAGTATTTTGATTATAATATGCATTTTTTATTGCAAACCCAGTCATTGACAGAGATGGATGGCTATAAAAATTGAAAACATGAATACATGCATACATACATACCTAGCTAGAAGGCATCTGGTGACCATTAATAGGCCTGTTTAAGTAAAGTATCCCTTCAAAACTTCACAGAGTCCTATGTTATTTACATTTATTTTCAATTAAGCAGTTGAGTTTCTTCCTCTGTTTTACCCTACATTTCTACTTCTAAAAGAAAAATGACTTTCTCACATGGCTAAAGAGGGTCTAAAAGCCACCCTGGTAAGAGGGAACTGTTTGAACAGAAATGTGCCATTAGAAGCTTGAATGCAAGAATGTGGAACTCACCTAAGAGGTCATCAAGTCCATTTGTCCACTGCAGGATTCACTGCACAATCTCTGCATAGATGAAGTCTTCCAGTTACCCATATCCATAACCTGTCTTTTTAATGAAGAGAGTACAGATTTGTATTCTGTACAATACAGAATTCATATACATATAATAGAAACATGTAAGAATAGTGTAAAACAAACTAGTTTGAACAAAATTCTTTTTTTAAAAAACACTGGGGGGACTTGATTATTCCCTGAGAAGGTGCACTTAGAAATGTCATTACAGATAAAGATCATTTTCTTGATGTTTGGATGCATTAAGCTTTTTCTTGGAAACAGTTTGGGTGAGATTATAATCTTCTTCAATAGAACAAAGTACAGGGGTGTTTTATGGTAAACAATAGATAAAGCAAGTTCTAATATTGTGATTGCAAATAATTTCTCACCAGCACATTATTTTGTTCCTTAGGTACACAAAACTTAAATTGCAAGTCACTACCGATGGGCGTATCCCTTTGAAGAAGTAAGTTGGGTTCCATTGTGTCATTGCATGTTCTACAGTATCATAAAACTGACTTTCTTTTAAGAATAGAAGCATGCTGTGAAAGTTCATTATTGTGTAGTGCTCTTCACTGTATGACGGCCAAGCTGTGTCTGGATTATACCATTTCAGGTTGTAAATGGGGTGTGTGTGTCTTTGGTTGCTTTACCATACAAAAGAACTCACTCTCCCCTTCTGCAAACCACACACAGACATGCCAACATAGGTAGCATGTGACAAAGAAGGCACGACTAAAAGCTTTTGTTGTGTCAAAGAAATATAAGTACACAAGTGTATTCAATTATATGAAGCCTCCCATGGGTTAAACATACATTGAAGCAGGATAATTGCTGTCAGGGATCAAAATAAGTGGCAAGATGTCAGACTGAAGAGCCATGTTTCTCATATAGCTAGTCTGAAATGCAATATTAATTAGCCCACTACCCATAAGTGCAACTAAATACATTATGACATAACCAATGTTGACGTATGGTCAACTACTTGTTGATTGATGTTCCCTATGTGGAATAGAAGGAATGAGGAGCATTTAATCCTTTACTTTAGGCAACATAATGCCTCTGGCAAGTCATATAAGTTATCCCATTGTAGTGTGGGAGGCAGAGGTGATATTCTGCCAGTTTGCCGCAGTTCAGGTGAACCGATAGCGGCGGTGGGAGGCTCTGCCCACCTGCCCAGATGTCATCACAAACGCTCTGCACCTGCGCAGAAGCGCCGTGCGTGAGCAAAGCGAGCATGCACATATGCGCGCTCCTGGTTCTGAACCGTTAGCGAAGGTAAGAGAAAACCATTACTGGTGGGTACAGCTCAGAATTAAATTAATTACTACCGTGAGAACAAAATCTTTCTTTCAGAAATGAAGAATTGGAAAAGACCATGGCTGAAGCACATAAAAATAATGAAGAGTGAATCAGATTTATTTCATACAGGCTGGATGGGCAGTTTATTTACTAAAAACAGCCTAGTAGCTTCCTAGATTAGTATTTGGGTGGCAGATATGGATGTGAAAGCACTGTGTAGACCCTAGATTGATATTAGCCATTTTGGCCTTTAGGATAGGGATGGAAATCAGGTATTGCTGAAACCCAGGTTCCATCAATATGGGTCAAAAGTAAGTGATGGCAGGAGCTGTGCTTCATAAATATCATCTGGGTCTCCAACCCAGTTCTAGAATATTATTTGAGCTTGTTTGGGAAGAGAATGTGCACAATGATATATGCAGAACTGAAGGAGCAATAGTTACCTCCTAGCAAATTCATTTTAACAGGATCATCCACCCATCTATCTACAAAATATATCTTACTAACATATAAAGCTCAGTTTGAAAAGTGCATCCTAAGCTTCAGAGACTTAACATTGCTTGTGTCACCTTGTCCAAAATAATGCAGGTTAACTGATTTTTTTCTGGAATGTCTGATTTTTTTCTAAAGTTAGATGAAGAGAAATGATATTTTCTGATAAATTTAGATGCCACTGAGTATAGGAATAAAGAGGTAGCTAACTACAGAAATTCAAAAGGAAGGAAGGAAAGAGAAAGAAAGAAAGAAAGAAAGAAAGAAAGAAAGCAATCTTTTAGACAGTGTGATACTAGCAAATCAA